GGATCTGGTGTACCTAATCCTATATTGAATGATCCCAATGAACCTTTGGAGGGTAAGATTCGTGCGATTCTTCAACTTCAATCGGTGCCTTGTACACGATCTTCCCAACAATTATCTCTTTGGATCCTTTGGCGGTTATGGAAGAGTAGAAATTGGTTGGTGTTTCAACAAAGGGCTATCTCTTGGAGTAATAACTTATCCCTTGCGAGAAATGATACAAAAGAGTGGTTGAATGCTTCATCATATTATTTCAGAGTTATCATTTAGCACTTCTCATCCCTCTGATTCACAATCTCATGTTGTTACTAGATGGGAGAAACCTCAAAACGGATGGATTATATGCAACTATGATGGGTCTTTCATAAGTGGAAATATTCCCTCTCAAGCAGACTGGATTTTCATAGATGCTAATGGGGTTTACAAGGGTGCAGGACAAGCTGTTAGAAACATGACAAAAAAATCTTCTGGAATGTGAATTACAAGCTCTGATTTTTGCAATGCAAAATGCTTGGTGCAAAGGTTTTTGGAAAATTGTTTAAGAAGATAATAAAAGTATCGCAGGTCTCATTGATGGTTCTTCTCTCAATTTTGGAGCTCTGAATTGGATTTGAGAAATTCGTCAGTGGAAGAACAAAATTTACAGAAATCAAGTTGCAATAAACGAAGAGGGAGTTTAATAAACCTGCAGATCATCTTGCAAAGCACTTATTTACTCAAAATCTCTTTTTTCAATATTTCTCATCTGTACCTATATTCATTTATCATGTAATTTATGATGACTATGTAAACTCTTTTTAGTATTAATTCATTCATAAGTTACAAAAAAAAAAAGGGTTTTATAAATTTGAACAAAGAACAATTTAATTTTCAAAGAACAATATATTTTGGATAAAATTTAAAAGTTATCAACCAATAACACTAATTTACCAAAAATATATTTAAAAAAACACAAACCAATAACAGTAAAATCTAAAAAGTTTAAAAGTCTATCATCGTCCACCAAACTCCCTAAATTTAACATCGTTTGATCCTTTATCTTTTCTTTTTGTCGGCGTTCCCCTTGGACAACTTTTTTAGTAACTTTGAGAAATAACCGGGCAATGATTGTCTTAAAAACGATATTTTTACAGTGGTTGTATACTTAATATTTGATGTTTTTTTACTCAAATTTCATACAATATTTCAAAATTACAAAGATAAATACAATTTTTGAAATAAATAGTAAAACTATTTTAATTATTTTAAAGGTTTTTTTTTGTTAAAGTCCCGGTTTTAAAGGTAGGTCTAATTTGTTTTCTTTTATATACTAAGAATTGTGATTTTTTGTTTTTAAAGAACCCAATTTAAGTTAACTGATGAATTATGTTAGTTGGGAATGGTGGAGATGAATTATTATGACAAGAAGACTCATTGTCGTCATATCTCTTTATCTTCTGCTTAGGGATTTTTTTTGGCTTATATTAACATGTTCATGATGAATTGGTACTCCTTCACCATCTCTTGTAGCAAGACATGGTGAAGTCAGAAGTAGAGACAACCGGAAGACCAATAAAAGCAAAGTTGTGTTTGTATCCAATCAATTTGTTGAAGAACTCTATCCTCCGGCTGGTAAGGAAGATGGAAGTTTGCGTTTTCCATGGGCTGCAAAGATGAACCCATCTCATAGGAACCTATACAGAACAACAACACCAACTTATATGGCAAATGGAACTCCGAAGGTGGTAATCCTTTTACTGCTCTTGAAAGTGAAGTTTTTTCAGGTTTTGAATCTAGTTATGATATAACTCAGAGGACTCGTGGAGGTAGGCACATAAAGCCGACTCAAAAGGTCCAAGAAATGCAATGGATTGATGTTGGACATAAAAACCGCGGTCATGGTGGTCGCGGTCGTGGTCCATAATTCTAAGGATCTCAAGTGAGCTATTGTTTCCCTAGCTCTTCTTCTAGTTTTACGTTTTTGATGTCGTAAACATCAAAGCATTTGTATGCATAAGCATTTGTCTCTCAAACGACTCTCTTGAACTCTATGGCTATTAAGTCATTGCCTTGTAATTTCTTTTCCTTGCAATTTAAATAGAATGCCCTTTTTCAACAAAAAAAAAAAAATAGTACAACGGTAAACCATCTCCTCTTTGTTGATGATTCGATGTTAATCTGCAAATTTAATGAAGCAAGCTGTCAGGTCATCTCTGTTATATATCCTTTGGCAGTACGATGTGATTCCGGGTTAAAAGTCGTCAAGCACATTTTTCTCAAAGATACCTCGATCCCAATATGCTAGAACGATGCAAGATTTAAGCATAGGTAAGAGGGCAGCGTAGGAAAATATTTCAAAATACCCAAAAATATAAATTAATGACTCAGGAGATAGTTGAAAAAAAAAAACAAAAGAATCAAAATAGAAGACGTTAAGCCGTTAACTTGTCGACATATAGCGTAAACCTAAGAG